AGGACAGCCCACAGAGGCTGGGGGGCTGCCCGGGAGCCCAGGGAGATGAAGGGAAGGGAGAAAAGGCCCAGGTCCCTCCTGGTACCTTCTTCATGGCCGTGGACACGGCTGAAGTGTGGAACTCCTCCGCTGTCACCCAGCGGGATGGGGACAAGGCAGGGTCCAGGGTCACGTCCCCATCCAGGGAGAAGGAGTAGACCACATATGTCTGGTGGATGTGAGAGAAGATGTGGATGACCTGTGAGGGGATGGGAAGACACAGAAATGAGCAGGCATCAGGGGATGCACTGCTTGCTCAGGTGCCTCACAAGTGCACTGAGTCTGCCAGGGCTCTGCAGAGTTGGGCAGGGCTTGGAAGAGGTGACAGCAGGGAAGGGGGACCCTCTTCCCTCCCTGCTACATCCCCTGCGGCCAGGCACAGGGGGCTCACGCTGCATACCTCTGCGCCAGGCTCACCTCTCCGATGAACCGCAGGCCTCCTGCCACCACTGGCCACCCCGTCCAGGCCCGGAGGTGATCAGCCAGTGCCTCCCTCTGCTTCTCCTCCTGCAGACCCTGAGCCAGCGGGAGGCTGGGGAATTCCCAGAGCCCGGCCAGGAGACCTGGGGAGGGGGCAAAACAGGGATATGAGCCGGCAAGATGCACATACGGGGACATCACAACCTGCTCCCAGGCTGCTCTGTCCCTCAGGTAGGTGGAAATGGGCCACACGGTGCCTTCACCCCACACTTTCCCAGCCCCGTTACCCGAGCTGGGTCTCTGCACGATGAGGTACTCCAGGGCCCCGTGGCAGCCCCTCCGCTCCACCACACACGTGGCTGTTCGCGCCGCCCGCGGCTGCTTCTTTGCTGCTTTCCGGGGAAAGTTGGTCACTCCCAGACTGCTGTCCCATGGCTCCGTGGCGGGAGGGCACAGGGGACAGCCCCCAGCACCTGCAAACACTGATGTAACGGTCGCCACAGGACCCAGACCCACCACAGAGATCTCCCCAGGTGCTCACCACAATCCTCAACATCAGGCACCGGGCTGGGTTTTCCAAACAGCTTCCGAGAGGCAAAGGCCAGCTCCTTCTCCACCTGCAAGAGAAGACGGGAGTGGGGACAGGCTCATCCACCAGCCCGCCTTGTCCCCATGCATGGTGACCCCTCGTGGCCAGCACCCACTGAGGATGCAGGACACGATGCCCAACCAAGAACAGCTTGCAGCACTGGTCTGGCACAGGGATGGCTCGTAAGAAGCTTCAGAGGGGACCTGGGGTGACCTTTTGCCACCCCACCGGGACAGCTGGCAGCCCCCAGCCACCTGCAGGCAGAGAGGAGACAGATTTTGGGACAGTACTTACCCTGCGCTGTGCTCGGCAGTGCTGCTTGACGGGGCACTCCCCGCACAGCGGGGCCTTGGGCACACACACAGTTGCCCCCAGCTCCATCAGGGCTTGGTTAAAATCCCCCGGGCGGCTCCTGTCTACCAGGGCATTGGCCATGTCCCTGGGAGAAACAGCAGTGAGCGGCACGGTGCTCTGCGGGGGGAGAGCCCAAGGACCTTTGCCCACCTCCTTCCTTCGAGGGGGGGATGCTCCCAGGTAGGCGGAGGCAACACGGCTCTTTTCTCCACCACTCCCAGCAGCACCGCCCTCCCAAAAGCTCCCGCACCCCATACCTCTCTCCCTTGGCAGGTGCAGCTCCCCATGGCTGCCGAGCGATCCCGCCCTCGGCCACCAACAAGCACAGATACGATCGCTGCAGCTCGGAGCATTCCTCTTACCAGAGCCGGTCAATGACAGCTGGGCTGCTGGAGTCGGCACCGATGCACCGCAGGCGGCACAGGACACGGATCACATTCCCATCCACGACACCGGTAGCCTGGGACCAGGAGTTGGGGTTACCACACCCAAGAGTGTCCGTGCTCCTGGCAAATCAGGGACATAGGATGCTCCCGGGACAGAGGGGGGACACACACGAGGCTGACCCGCCAGCCAAGCCGGGCAGTGGGTGACACGCATCGCGGAGCTGGGGACAGCCAGAGCCAAACACAGCCCCAGGGAGCTTGTGACACCCACCGGCAGAACCCTGCCGGGAGCTGGGCAGGGCGGCAGAGAGGGAAGATGTGTCCACTGACACCCAGCTCTCACCTGCCCATACGAGATGGACGCGATGGCTCCTGCTGTGTATCGACCCACTCCTGGCAGCAGCTTCTGCAGGTCCTCAGCCGTCCTGGGCATCCGGCCGGCCAGCTCAGACACCACCTGGCAGAGAGGGGGCCGAGGTCAGTGGAGCAGCTTGGGTACGTGTATGCAACCCATTTTACCCACAATAAGATGGGATCCCAGCCTCTGTGGCCTTGTGCCAGCAGCACACAGCCCCAGCGAGGTAGGGCAGATAGGAGCCAGAACCAACCCACGGGCCACAGAGGGCTTCAGAAACACCCCCCGCACCCCAAGACCGGGGCACCTTCCTTGCTGCCTCCTGCAGACGCTTCCCTCGGGAGTAGTAGCCAAGTCCTGCCCACAGCTCGTTCACCTCCTGCTCCAAGAGACACGGTGTTAGATGGGGAGTGAGAAGAGCTGTGAGGGCAGGGAGAGCACCCAGCCGCGGCAACGCTCACCTCCAGGGATGCCTGCGCCAAAGTCTGCAGTGTCGGCCATTTCTGTGGTACAGAGGGAAGGGGACAAGTCAGGGACAAGCAGAGCCACACTCTGCAGCTGGGGATCTGCCACAGGCAGCGGACAAGGTCTCTGAAAGGGACAGCCTGTGGGCACAGGACTCCGTGAGGAGCAGTCACCTGCATCCAGCGGTTGTAGTAGTCGATGACTGTAGCCACCTGCGTCTGCTGGAGCATGATCTCAGACACCCACACTGCGGGGAGCAGGGCAGGGATCAGAGCAGAGGCACCAACGCCACCCACCCCTCGTGCCACAGCCACGTCAGTACTGGCTACGTGCATCACAGTGGCATCCAACACACAGGACCCCTTCCCACCCCTGTCCTTCCACACGTGCTGTCCCACAAGAGCTCCCTCAGGCTCAAAGCGGGCTCTCTGACCCCCCAGCGCCTTGCGGGGGTGAGTGGCTCTCGCAGCCACCCCAGGCAGCTCATTCTAAGGATGGCCACTAAAGCCACATTTCCTCACAAGTCCATATTGCACATCCATGTCAGGGGGGCAACATGCAGCGGGGCACCCTGCGCGCACCGCAGCGCAGTCCCTGCTCCTCACCTGCGTACGCCCGTCTGTCGGCATCTGGCTCAGTTGCTGCCTGAAAGAGGAAGATGAAGTGAGAAAAACTCGGTGACACAGGATCCCACCCCAGAGGGGACCTGCATATAAAATAAAATTGCTTGTGGTGTGTTTTGAACACTACGTAGGGACCTGCATAAAAATATTTCCCCCAGGTTCACTAAATCCCACCAGAGGCCTGTCCCGAACCTAAGTCCCTCTGCATGGGAAGGAATTCTGGGTAGATTTAAATCCCACAGAGGGGCCACGCAGTTCCCAGCACCATTCAGACAGATGCTGCTGTAAAGCTGATGACCACCCCCAGCACCTCAACCACCCTCTAAGCACTTGTTGCCAGGCCGAGCAGGTAGGAGCCCTAGTTAAAACACTCAGCAGGTTTAAAGCAAGTACACAGAAAAACTTTTCCATGCAGTACTCGCTGCTGTGGGATACCATGGAGACAGGAACAAACCAGAACCAGTAGGAAGAAAAGAGTGCTCCAGGCTGGGGGCTGTCTGTAGGAATTGTGGTTTCACCCTGCGCCCTTCGTACACGGGGACAGACCATCCACCACGGCACTGCCAGGATCAGCTGGGAGCACTCTCTCATTTCCAACACCCTCTTTCACGCAGTTAGGGATGCATCGCCCGGGGAAAGACACCGTGGTCGCCTCACCGGCGCTCCCCCAAGGCGGAGCGGCCGGTTCCCCGCGAGGGCACCCCCGCCTCCCCTTACCAGCGTCCTCCAGGGGAGGTCCCGCTTGCATCTGTCGTACCAAGACAGCAGGTTTCCGCGCAAGGTCTCGATCTCAGCCGGGTCGCTGAAGAGATGCGTGGCGGGCGGCGGAGCCGCGGTCCCTGCCGGGAGAGCGGCGCGGGGTTGGGGCAGGGAGAAGGGAGATGGAGAGGGGCTGCGGGGCCCGACCGCAGCACTACGGAGGCAGAGGCGGGAGCCCCATAGA